GGGACTGCATGGTGATGGTGTCCCTACTGCCACTCCTCATGCTCGCGCCGGACCTTTGTTTCGCTACAGCAAATTCTGGATTGCCAAGGGTCATGACCCTTGGCCGCTGCAGGAGGAGATGGTGTACACGTACTTCGAGGAAGTGGGCCCGTCTACTGCCCAAACACATCTGCGGTCGTGCCTGATCTCCATGTCTTCTGCAATGCATGTGCTGAACTGACATATATTTTAAGACTGTTTTGGACTAGAGGCGTGTGCGTAGTGTTAGTGCAGAGCATTTTAAGCGCAAGCGTGCGCTGCGACAGCATGACCTGCCGGATGGTCCAGCAAGTAATTGTTCTTGAGCAGTGTGCAATGGATGAGAGGCCGCGGACAAGGACAGGGCAGCTGCTGGCTGGTCGTCTGCGTTACTTTGACGCTTTGCATGTCAACAGTGTCAAGTTGGACAAGCAGCAGGCGCGCGGAAAGGTGTTTGGCTTTCTGGAAGCGACCTGCAAGCGCAAAAAGACAATGACGAGCCTGGAATCGAGGATGCGCTTGCTACCTGTTGCCGTACTTCTTGAGTCATGGGTTGAGACTTGGCTTGCGCTGCGCGATTGGATTGGCTTGGTAGTCAATGACAAGTACCCGTTCCTCACTATGGCCAATGGGCAATAGGGGTCCATGCCTCTGGGAGCTGCTGAAGCAGGACATTGGCCGATCGCTGGTGGCATTTTTGTGTCAGGCACAGAACATAGGCGCGCGCAGTGCCACAGTGACGGCCTTGTCGTGGGCGGCAAAGTCGGTTTCCCGTGATGAGCGTCCTGTTCTTGGCGTGCTGCGGCTGGTGACCGTTCTCTGCTTTGTTACAGTCGGAATGCCATGTCAGGTCCTTTGCGCAAGCTGGCCAATGTGGTGCGAGACGTCAAGGCTGGCGTTTTTCGGGCTGATAATTATGATTCGCAGCGGGTACGCTGTGAAATCCGATGGTGGTGAGCAGAAGCTTGAGGACAGCGAAAGCAGCGGCTTGGACGAGGACGACCACCAATTCTCGGAGGAAGCGGCGCGTGCGATGCAGTGGATGACGCCTTGGCCGGCGAGGACGTATGTTAGACAAGTTTTCTCGCTGCCTGCTCATGTTTGCTCGTGATAGCCTAGATGTCTTTCTGTGTGGCCAAAAGATGTCCGCCGCTATGTCAAACAGCATCGGGTGCCGCGGCTTGCGCGCTCAGCGTGCAGCATCTGCTGGATGCAGAAGCAGTGAGGGCCCGCAGTGCTAAGACAGAAAGAGTGCGCGCAGAGCAGTTTGTAGGCTGAGCGTGTGTGACCTGCGGTGGCATGATCAGCATAGTTTGCTACGCTCGTGTCGCTTCTGTCCTTGCGTGCGTAGGTTAGGTACAGCTTGTGCAAGGGAGCATTGGTCTTGTGTGCCCAGACAGGTGTGAGCGAGAAGCTTTGAATTGCTTGCTAGCAAGCGCGCAGCGTTGAATCGCATTTTGCAGCTGTTCAAAGCCAACGTGTAGTTGAGCAGTCTTGTGTGTCTGTGTGCTATCATGGCATTGCAGCAAGTGCGGCAGTGCTTGAGTCTCGCGTGCGTGAGATCGGCATCTTTGGTGAGGTGTCCAAGGCAATCAAGGAAGGGGGCTTTGACTCTTTCATGAATCCTGCGCGGTGGTGGCTGCGGACCTCAGGGCCCAGGTGGAGCAGGCGGATGAGAGCGGCCTCCGCAAGTTGGCGGCGCCGGAGCGCGCTGAGCGCTTGAGGGCGCAGCAGGCCGGCCTGCAGGGAGTGAGCGTCGCCGTTGCCACTGAACCTGGCGATGCGCTCGTGGCTCGGGCAGTGGCGATGTATGATGCCGACCGTGTGGCCTTCGTTGACTGGCTCCTCTTAGGCGTTTCGGTGTGCGACAGAAACAGAAAATTCGCTGCCTTGACGATTGCAGTGAGAAGAGCTGGAGTGATGCCTTCACTTTTGTGGAGTCGTCTCTTTCTGCGCTATGGATCATGTGGCGCGGTCAGCTTTGATTTTGACCAGACACTGCGTGTTGCAGCAATCTGACGAGATGCGCTTGTCCAATGGAGCTCGCCTTGTGGGGAAACTTCAGGAGGACTGGGTGCGACCGCCGCCAAACTTCAAAGCAATTTCATTTGACTTGAAGAGTCCATACAAGCAGCTGCCTGTGTCGCCGTGCGATGTGAACAAGGCGGTCGTGAGTGTCATGTGTCCTGAAACCAGACAGCCGTGTTGCTTCCTTATGAGGGCTCTGCCATTTGGAGCAGAATGAGCAGTTGCGGTTTTCAATCGCATGGCGCGCCTTTTGTGGGCCCTTGCATGCTACTTCCACGTCCCATGGTCCAACTTCGATGACTACCCGACCTTGTCGCGTGCCACGCTGGGCTGTCAGAGATACAAAGCCTGAAGGTCATGATGGAGCTTTTGGGCTTCGTGCTGATGCTGGACAAGCCACGTCCTTTTGCGCAAGTGCCAGCGATGTTGGGTGTGGAGCTGGACTTGTCGGACCCAATGAGTGGTCGGCAACAAAGAGAATGGTCGGCGACAAAGAGTCGCGTGAACTGGAAGTAAGCCAGGCTGTGCAACAAATCCTGGAGTTTAAACGGCTCAGCTGCAGGGAACTCCCTTCGATGCTTGGGCGCTTGTAGTTTGCGGATCAGCACGGCTTTGGCCTTGTTCTTGGCAAAATTGTGGAAGTGTTTGGTGCAGCAGTGCCGGCAGGTCTGGTTGAAGAATGGCGTGCAGCTGTAAGGAACATTTGATCGGCCAAGCTGAACTTTATGCGGCATTGGTGGCTCGGATGCAGTGGGAGCATTTCCTGGATGGCAGGAGGCCCATGTTTTTCCAAGACAACTACGCTGTCCTTGATTGTCTCATAAACGGAACTGCGCACGATGGTACCTGGCGCAGCTTGTTCCTGGCCATGAATTTTGTGATGCGAAGCTGCGTCTTTGATGTAGTTTTCTCGTGTGCCTTTATCCTCAAACGTGGCTGATCCGAGCCGTGGCAAGCTGCGCGAGTTGGAATTTCTGAAGCCTTTCAACTTGAGGCAGCCTGAGTGCCCATGTGGTCATGGGAGATTGCGTTCTTTTTGGTGAGTGCTAGATGCGTGGGGTAAGGTATCTTTTATGCCGGGAGCCACTGGTCCTACGGGACTCGTCCATTGAGACATGCTTGAAAGGTTTCCTTGGCCACTTCAAGAGATACATCCCCGTGCCACGGATGTTTCCGCTAAAATGAAAGCTTCTGTCCGTGCAAGTGTATCAGTGCTGAGGTCGCAATTGCAACTTGAGCTAACTTTCTGTGCATGTCAGTGTTTTGCAACATGTGCGTTAGTAGTGTTGATGTGAGCGACCCCGAAATCTATAAGTGTGGGGTTTGAATCGATGTTCGCTTCGGTGATTTGGAAGCACGAAAGTTGTCAAAGCACTCGCGCCCACCAGGAAAAATCATGAATAATCATCAGGCTTAGGACAACAGGAAAGGAATGGACAGTCTGCAGCTTGTGATAGAAGCTGCCAATGCCTGTAGCTGGGGTGACGGATGGAGGCTTTTCACTTGAATCTATGGCACATGGACCATGTGGACATCTTCGGAGGTCTGCTATAGAGTGTTTGGCATCGGCCCTCCGAAAGTAATTTCTGACCATCGCCTCAGGTTGCGCAGATCCCCAGCATCCTTGAGGGTCTTCCGACTTTGAGAAATCAGCTATATCGCGTATGTTGTGAGAGGTGTTTTTTTTGCAGAATGCTCGTCTTACAACGGGTGCTGGGGGATGATGCAGGGACTGCGGAGGAAGATAGCAGTTCTCTGCAGAGATTCTCAGCGAAGAGCGCTGAACTCGAAAAACCATGAAAAGCCCGCGTCCCAAATCATCCACCTTGAACCCTAAACTAAACCTTAAGCTGTGGGCCGTCCGGGAACCTTAAATCAGGCTGGCGCCCGCTCGTCTCAGCCCCATGATGCGAACAAAGAGAGTTGCTTGGGAGCAGCTTATTATCACCCAGCGGCCCAACAGGCGATGAATCAACAAATTGGATTCTGCTAGGGTTTTAGGTCAGGGGGAGCTTATTTTTGCAAAGTCACTAAGCATCCGATGCGCCCTGACATCACTTAGCGTCCACTTGCTCTTTTAGAAGATTCATGTACGAGGACCCTTGGCTCCACCTTCTTGTTGGCAAGGATCTTCCCCAGCATGTGATGGCTCCATCCCTACAATAATACAAGACATCTTTTGAGCGGGACACTAGAGGGATAAAAAAGATGATATGGTCAAATCTCAGTATTATCCAAACCTGAACCCATAGTTTTGCCAGCGCTAGTGCAACCGTTGATGAAGGAAACTCCGCACCTTTCTGTCCAGGAGTTCCCCAAAACCATTTTGGACACACCAAAGTGATGCATGAATTCTTCTGCCCACATGGGAGTTTCTCGACATCACCCTGTATACTGCATAGTATGGTCGCCCATATTCACCCCATGACCCCTATGCATCCTTAGGGTTCCTAAGGGCCCCCGATTTTGAGAAATCCCCATATGAGCTGGTAAGGAATGCTGTACTTCCTCGCGTGTCCCGGCCTCAGCTGGACCAGGATGTCCACAGCATGGTGGCCATGCCGACATGATGGTCCCTGTTTGACGGATACTGCAGGGGGCATATGCAGACTCTGTTGTCAGGCTATGTACATCTACATCTATGTGCTAAATCTCCTAAACCCTATATAACCCATTGTAGCACTTTCCATTTTTTTCCTTTAACCCCATATAACCCCAATATAACCCTAATATAACCCTAAAGTGAGAAGCATCCCTCGGTTTATTTGCAGAGTTTGCAGGGATACTAATTCCGGCACGTGCAGAACCCGCATCTTAGCCGCAGCGTTCCTGAAGTTTTTTGTTTCAGGTCTGGTGGGCCAAACAGTCACTGTGAAGCTGAAGAACCAGCAGCTGGGCCTGTCAAATTTAGTTTCAACATGCTTATTCTTTACGATGAACGTTACTATTTCTACATCTTTGCCTTCCTCCTGCTGGCACCCCTCTGCTCTGTCCAGGACAATATACGAAGGAGTCTTTCATAGCTGCTCCCTAGAAGGCCGGCGCTGGGTTTGGGTAAGACTCAATAGGGATTATATCTATAACCCCAGTATCCCCCCTATTGTAATGGAATAGTTTCCATTATCCATTATCCTTGCATTATACATTAACCTCCCTTGCAGCACACCCCTCAAAGGATAGAGCAGGCATGATCTCCTTCATCGTCTTGTTACCCATTGATGCCCCTGCAAACCAACTTGCTCTACGTAATCTCCTTGCACCCTGAACCCACAGAGCATTGAAACACTGACCCCCAAGCGTGAAGCCACCACAACGCGCAGGTGACGTTGCGATCACCTTGAAGTCAGCCCGACAAGTACCTACAGGACATGGGAAAAGCGGCGAGGCGCTGCAAGAGCTGAGAGAATATGGGGCCGTAGGCCTTGGGGGTTTGCGATTTGGGCTTAGGGATTTAGATGGGCAAGGCATTAGGCTTGGGGCTTTGGAACTACACAGAGAATTGAGGCCCTCAAGCGGGGTTGAAGGGGTCGCAGGGGCTAGGGTCTGGGAAGTTTCGGGGAGCATCTGCCGAAATGGGGCTATCGAGGAACAAAAGCAAGCGTATCAAGACTTGCGGCCTTTTACTGGAATCAAACGTTTTAGAGTAGGACTAATGACTAATAAACCATCAAATGGGGAGGGAGGAACTTGATATTCACATATTGATGTAGAGTTGGAGTCGTGATAGAAAGGGATCACAGAAGTCTCAAGTTTCTTATTCCTTCCATGCAGGCATCCCCCCTTTACTGTAATTGTTGCTACAGGCCATCTTGTGGAAACTCCCAAGTAACAAGTAAGGATCCCTGTCTATCTCCTATTTGTGCTACTGGCACTTCACAAGTTTCAGGATGTCTTTGAGGACCTTACATGTTTTCATATAGAGGCTGTGAAGGGATTATGCTAGAACTTAAGTTGATTTTTGTTGACAGGCTCCTGTGTTAATCAAATTCTGCTTCGGCAAAACTACGCTCGAGTTGCTCAAGGTAGTGCGTAAGAGATCTGGGTCTCAGACACAGTGTCTAGCAGCAAGAGCTCCATAGATTATGCAGGCAACTCAAATTGATCCTGCTCTGCTTCTTATTCTTGCGCAGGTGAAAGAGGAAATGGTGATTGCGGGAAAAGACTTCCTGCAGGTCCGCAATTGCTTTCCCTCCTGATTTCTGATGGTCGGCATAAATCTTTGTGGGTATACAGGAGGGGCTTGGGGTTTTGAGAAACTCACTGCCCGCAGATCGTCAAACCAGAGTGTCTTGAAGACGAGGTCAACGCCGTAAATGTGCCCTCAGAGCCCAAGCTGTGAGCTCAGAGCTTTGGTGTAGGGTTTGGGTTTGTGGGTTTAGGCTTTGGGGGCTTTGAGTGTTGGTTCAGTGATTCCCAGGTAGGATTCAGAGTTTTAGATCTGGTTTCAGCGTCGGCCGCAGCGCAGCCAAGTGAGGCATCAGCAGCACAGCACCTTCAAGACTGACGGTGAGATAGTGCGTGCCTCAGATTGTTTGCCTACCCTCCCCTAAACCAACATGTAACCCCAAATGAGGGCTATGTAGAGTACTGTCCTGTTACAAGCAGTCTATTGTATTTCGTTACATGGAGGTCCATGCTTGGAGTCTGCCTGTAGAAGCACTCAAAATCTCAGGAATCCGAAATGAGCCCTTGTAATTTTGTAGTGACAAGCCATAGAACTAAAGAGATTTGCTTCCGCGGTATGCTGCTATACATTCCACAGACACTGAGGCCCTTGCTCTGAAGCGCCACAGGAAGTGACCCACAATGTTGATAGACGCATCGAGCCCTCACATCCGAACAGCAAGATGATCGGTGTCTACTGAGTTGTAGCTTTTGGACTCCAAAGAGGCACATCAGGGATATATATATATATATATGTATATATAGAAATATAAAACCTTTACATAACCCTACATATAACCTTTGTAAGATCCCAGAAAGAAGTACCTATAGTGGAATGTAATCCTTTTGCAGCCCTGCAGAGCACTGAAGTCAAAGGGGCCCCATTCAAGTCAAAGGGTCCCAGTCATTTTTAGAAACCGCCCAAAACCATCTCCCCTAAACCCAAACCCTACTTTACTAATCTCCCTGAACGCCTTAAGCCTCAACCCAACACAGCTCAACACCACCACGCCCCCCCCCTCCCCAAAAAAAAAGAAACAACCAAACACTGCATCCTAAACCGCATAAACCCTAACCCCATAGAACCCCATAGTCCCTAAACTTGCTTTTGAGGCTGAAGGATGGGGCGAGGACCGAAGTCGTGAGCTAGTGGCCTGGAAGAGTAGTGGCGAGGCGTTGGGCAGGGGTGAGGGTAGGGTCAGGGTTTAGGGTTGGTTTTAGTTGCGTGGCTTGGGGCTGAAAGATTGGAATTTAAGAGGAACACCTCCCCCCCCCGCCCTTGAGGGTTAATGATCGTCTCCAAAAGGAATAAGGGGTGTTGGGAATTCTTCCCATGCGTGTAAAGGCTCTTGAAGTTTAGGGCTCAAAATCGCGGGTCCCCTTTTGTAGTCCTGATAGCAAAGACTGTTTGATTTGAGGGTTGGTTTTTGGCACTGGAAGTTCGGGAATTGATCACCAAAAGTCTCTGTCAGGGATTGCTTGGGATGTTTAGGGCTTACGTAGGGGAGAAATGGATAGTTGAGGGTTTGTTCGGAGGCTGGGGTCATGATGGTTCATGCACGGAATGCCTACCCTGCAGGAACATGGGCTTAGGATCGTGCTGGAGGATCTTGAGGAGTTTGTGCTGCAAATGATCCCTAAACCCTGAACCCATTAGTTGAGGAAAATGTGCTGTCCGTGACCACACTGGTAGCTCAGGATGGTGTTAGTGAGCTGGAGGTGTTGAGTAGCGATCCTGGAAGAAAGCAAAGAAGGTTTGGTTATGTTTGGTTCTATGGCCCATTCGGGAAGGGCAGGTTTCTACCAGCAAGCACCCTGAAACCTAACAGGGATGTATGATGTTGAGATAGAGCTGATGATGAACTTGTTTCTGCCTGACCATCAGAACCGGGAACTATGATATTTGAGCAAGTCCTGGCGTGATTCCGTCCATCAGCAACACCCCCCGGCCCGTACAAGATCATGTAGGGAAGTTTCAGCCACCGGTAGCCAGAACACCGTGTTTTCGGAGGGCATTCAGAGGATTTATGAGGGGGGGCTTTCTGGCATCATTCCCGACGTGTCCCTTTCCTTCATGTTTGAACAGTGCCCCTCCCAACATCAGAGCCAGAAGCAGCCACCTTTGCAATAGGCGAGTGCCCCTGCTGGCGTCTCGCTCGATCTTGGATCCGGTGGCCGCCAGATTGGTGTAGGGGTCTCAGACGAACAGGGCGGTCAGAGACTATCTCAAACACCACAAGCACGACGAATGGACATTCCGCAAAGAAATGTGCAACAAGTTTTCATGGTGTTCTTTTGTGAAAAAGTTCCTTTGTTTGGGGGTCTGGGATTGACCTCGCCAAGCCTGCGGTCGCAGCATGGCCTTCCCAAAAAGTTGACCAAATAGTTTGTTCACACACTACGCGGTAGTTGTGGCACGTATGTAACTTGATGGCATACCAGTTTGCAAGGCATGTCAATCATTGACCCAAGCTTTTCATTCGTGCTTGGCGCCAGACCTGGAACCAGTTCGAGTACAACGAGCAGAAGTTTGGCATCACAAGTACTTACTCCGAGGACCTGTGTAAGGTGCCCAAATTCTCTCCCGCTATGCTGAGCGGGCCAAATTGACCTTCTCAGGGGGGTCTCCACGGGGCACAAAACTCAAGTAAAAGGGACAGGTAGCTTCGCGACTATCAACTAGAGTCACTAGAGGTTCCTCAATATGGGAGATTCTCAAAATCTCCCTGCATGGTTCTGAAAAGGACACCTGTTAGAGCCCCTTGATCACGATCCCAGAAATCTTAGGATCTTCAGACAGGGGAGGCCAGTCAGATCACAGCCAGCTGGGCAAGACAAGTAATTATAGCAGCGGTGGAATCCTGTGGAAGGAGCGCCTCCACTACATCTTTGTCTTTTTGATCAGTTTAATGCAGCGAAGCTGTTTTTACAAGTGTCCTATCTATCGGGAATCCATCTTTTGCAGGACTTGTATACAACGAAGCTGGACCCCAGCCAAATCCCGGAGCAGAAAAGGAAGGATGTCCGGATCTAAGCTGCTCTACGAGCGCCTGCCTTCGTTCCAAAGCATGTACTGGTCGCAGGGTCAGGGCGATAGAATATGAAATTGACCACGTTAAATAGCATGCCCCTTCTGTATATTTTAGGATCAAGGAATTCGTGTCGCGTACGACAGAACTTGCTCTTAGAGAGGAGAGCTGGCAATTTCTTTGCATGTTTTTTGGGGGGATGAGCGATCGATCTTGTTTGGTAAAATGTTGGTGATCTGACAGGGTATATGCTGCCATGAAGGCCGAACGAATTGCTCGTGAAATCGAAAGCGGGCAGCCGCTGAGCTGAATTCATGACATGCTTGGCATCTTGACTCGCGTCAGAAGTAGGTGTATAACATGATGTGCCATGTAGTCGTAGCCATGGCGTGAGGGTGCGCCGGGGTGTGGTTCTCGTAGGGACTCAAGGTCCTTGCTCCCGTCACACAACTCCGCCATCACCGCTATGCTGTACGCATACATTACATGAAAAGTGGGGTGCTACTTGTAAGCAGCCAAGGATGTACGCCAGAATAGAGGAAGGCGTACATGATGCCAGGGCCTCGTCCACATGTGTGCCCGCAGCTTGCGATATGTCTGCATGAGAGATGTGGCAAAACATGAGGAAGTGGACGAGGAGGCGCAATTTAGCGCGGTTGGTTCCTCGCATAATCCGGCCGCCTGCCTGAGCGGATTGAAAGATGGAGCATGCGGCGTGGTACTTGCACCGCGTGAGAATCCTTGGATGGAATCAATACTTGGTGAACCCAGGCAGCCGGCGGATCCGACTCCTGGTGAACAAGATGCCAAGTTTCCATAAATGCTGGGAATTCTAATCTAATCGTTAGTATAGCTGCTCTATTACTACTGTCATCACATGATCGTTACTCTTGAAATTCTACGTGCTATCAGTGTGTCAGAATCCCGTGACCAGCCAGTGACCATGCCAAGCCAAGGAGCCAGTTCATGCTCCGCTGACAATGGACTTCCCGGGCTAGAAAAACCATCCAAGTATGATAGTAATCAATACTTATACATAATGGGATTCCTATGATAAGCAATTTTTCATAACAATACCAACAGTCGTACTACTGGTTTTCTTGCAGCTGCTGGTAGCTGCCATGGGCCCGACCTGGTGCAGGAGAATGTGTCACAGCATGATGCTGCCTCTGCCGCCGAGCTCCACGCCGGGGATGCTGCTGCCCTGGCTCACTGGGTTATTCAATTACCAAGGTATGCTGTACCGGGTTATATAGGGACACATTGGGAGAGTGGAAAAATGAAACTACTACATGTTACTTGTATTCACGGTTCAGTTGAGCCTTTTAACTGCATCTGACTGTTGTTGTATACCCGACATCTGAGGGATTTGCGCGAGAGCACAGGGCAAAGCGCTACATGATAACAGCGCACTCCTCGCCCGAGCCTTAGTGAAGGCAAGCAGACTAAAGCTGATGCAAACAGGACTCTGCAGGCTCAAGCCCAACGGTTGCAGCAGCACCATTGTCTTAAATAGTAGTTTCCATTTTCT